CGGTCCCGGTAATTTGGACACGTCCAGTGCCTCTGAGTGTCTTTTACCATATCAGTACTGACTGTTGGTCGGCTGATGTTCCCCTTGATGGTGTCCATGATGCATATTGAGGATTCATCTAGATTCTTGTTAAAAAAGACAGAGGCAAAAAACTCATTGAAGAGCTCTGCCTTGTCCCTGCTATCCATCACTAAGCCCCCTGCCTGTCATGTAGGGGGTCCTATGCTATCCTGCACCCTCTTTTTGCTCCCAACATATCTAAAGATGGGCCAGAACCAGCCCGAGCTGTATGTTTGACACCCTTGAATAGAGGTTATAGCCCTATCACTTGGCTCTGGCCACCTTTCTTTGACTTCTTGCAGAGAGAAAGGCTCTCTCTCAGGCTTCCTCTGGGTGGAATGTCAAGCTGCCAGGCTCACAGGAAATTCCTCAGAAATGGTGATGCAGTGGGGTCTTGGGCTGGCACCAGGAACGTTGTCAAATGTTTCTTTAAATTCCCAACACAGTAAGAAACACAAAGCCATATTAGGATTGCCGACACTTAATTTAAATAAATCTTTTCCACAGACAGGTCATTGCTAAGAGATCAGTTTGTGGTTAAGTCATCCTTAAACCCCTCCTGGGGCACTCCACATTCAGCCATTTAATAAGAGTTGACATAAATGTCCCGAACATCAAGTGTAACCTTGAAGCAGAATAACTTCCAACCCCTGATAAGTCAGTCACAGTCTTTAATAAGTTCCAACATGCAAGAAGGAATCCAGGTTGTAGGCATATTGGTCTAGAGCAGGGGTCAACAACCCCCGGCATGCATGCTGAGCATGGCTTGCAAGGTCATTTTGCTCGCAAGGCCATTTTGCTTGGCACACCACCGCTAGCCCGGGCTCTAAGCACCTGCTGCTAGCCATGGAGCCCAGGCTGCTCCCAGCAGGCAGCTGGGAGGCTGCAAACAGCTGCTCCGGGCTCCGGCATGTCAGCACTCTGGCACCTTCCAAGGTAAACATTGTGGGTTTTTTGGCACTCTGGCCAAAAAACATTGCCTACCCCCAGTCTAGAGGCAAAAGGAATCAAAATTCGTGGTCGAGGTGATATCTTTTATTAGACCCACTAGATTTTTGCAAAAAAAAAAAAAGCTATGTTTGCAAGTTTTGGGGCACAAGCACCCTTCATCAGGAATAGGAGAAAAGATTGTGAAAGTTCTCCCAGATAGAAATGAAAGTTCGTATTTCATAGGAGAGTTGAAGTTGTGGTAAAATCTCCTGTTTGGAACAGCTCATTTTATTCAGATTAGGCTCAGAGAAAAATTGGATTAATCTGTTTACCTTGAAGCTGTTGGGTGGCAAGCAAGATGTAGAATCATATTCCTTCTGGTTATGATGTTTCATAGCTCACAGGAGAGTAAAAAGGTGGAATGCTGTTCTGGGCAGGAATTTCTTATGTGGTGAGGTGTCTCTGGGCTCTGTGATAATGCAAATTACCTTAAACAAAGGCAACGCCTGCCTTTGTTCACCTGGAACAAACAACTTTGAGGTAAACAGACTAATCCAACTTTTCTCTGAGCCTAACCTGCATAAAATGAACTGTTCCAAACAGGGGATTTTACCACACCTTCAACTCTCCTGTGAAATATGAACTTTCATTCCTACCTAGGAGAACTTTTACAATCTTTCCTTCTGTGCCTGAAGAAGGGTGCTTGTGCCCAAAACCTTGCAAATAAAGACTTTTTTTTAAAACAATCTAGTTAGTCTAATAAAAGATATCACCCCTACCACAAGTTCTGATTTCTTCCAACATGCAAGAAGGGCAGACATAATAATTGGGAAGTAAATTTGGTGTAAAACAAAACAGGAATTCAATTTACTGTGGGCTACTTAAAAAGCTTTCTGTTTCTTGTGGTTTTTGGAATGAATGCACTTCCCCACAATGCTGGAAATGAAACTGAGCTGGGAACTGCATAAAAATATCTGACTCTTGAATGCCTGGCAACCTCCCTTGATCTTCTAGGTTACAGACAGAAATTACATGTCAACTGGTATAAGTGACTGGAAACTGGTTCAAATCTGTAACACAACAGAAGTTCAGTGCACAAAAAGCACTTTCAAAATGGCCAAAATCAATTTAAAATAAACCTGGATGGATGTAGTATCAGACCTAACTGATTTATGTTAAATTGATTTTTTGAACTTCTGTGCCAGATCCCCTCCATATTCAAGTTAACTCACAGCCCACCAGCATCCCAGAATGCTTTGCACCTCCCTGGCAACCATCCCTCTCCCCCCACTCCCCAGGAGGGTGGACAGGCTAGCCTCGGCCCAAACTATCTGCCCCAGCTGAGCAGGGTTGTGTGCTCTAGCATCCCCCAGCTTCTGGCCTGAACCAGTGAAGGCATGTGGCTACATTTCTGGAATCAAAAGTGAATGTCTGTTCACTTGCTTATTGGTTTAATCTATGCAGTTTAGATTAACCTGTGAAGATTGAATCAATTCAGCCTCTGGCATTTTGACTGTCTATACTTTTAGCCCTGAAGACTGATTTCAGCTGTACCAAATCTTTTGCTAAATCTTCAAAAACAATTATCTTATTACATGACTTTCCTCCAAGCAGGAAGCAGTTCCACTGTATTTTCTTTTACAGGGAATTTGAGAGATGTAACTTTTAATGCATGACAAAGGCTTAGGGGCCAGAAACTGCCATGCTCTCTCAAATTCAAAATCAGCCAGCACAAGAACTTAGAAGTAGGGCAGGAAAGCTTTTCCAGCTGTGGGCCTGAATGACCCACTCGGATTCAGAGGCAGGCAGGCAAGCACTGGGACCTGGCCACCACTTGTCTACACAGCCATGCAGGAAGAGCACCAGCACATGGAAGCAGCACACCACTGAATGCCTGCAAAGCCCTGACCTAAGGGATACATTCTAGGATTGCCTCTCTCTCTCTTCTCCTTTAGATACCACTAAAATTTTCCTATTATAGCATCAAGATTTTTGATTGAGGCTTGGCCTTTTAGATTTAACAAAGTGTATGCTTCTAAGTCTTCTCTGTACCTCAGCAGAGAGCTCTTGTATCTTATTTCCATCATGAATATTCTTGCAGCTTCACTCACCTTGTCTTCCAGAGACATTTTTTATTGTGGCCTTGATGTCTCATCAGCCCTCTTTTTCAGAAAGGTTATGTGGGCTTCCTATTTTCCTTGTCATTCAGCTGTCTTCAAAGCCTGCAGCAATTCAACGGCCTGAGGAACAGCCAGCATGGATTCACCAAAAGCAAGTCATGCCTAGCCAACCTGATTTCCATCTATGATAAGTTCACAGGCTCTGTGGATGTGGGTGAGGAACAGTGGATGTCTCCCATGACATTCTCATTAACAAGCTAAGGAAATACAAAGTAGCTGAATGTACTGTAAGACATATATGTAACTGGTTGGATCATTATACTCATTGCATAGTCATCAATGGCTTAATATCTAGTTGGGAGGTGGTACCAAGTGGGATTTCCCAGAGGTCTGTCCTGGCTCTGGTATTGTTCAATATCTTCATTAATGAATTGGATGATGGGACTGAGTGCAGGTTTAGCAAATTTGTGAATGACACCAAGTTGGGTGGAGTTGCAGACACCAAACTATGCTGCAAACACTGAAATGGAAAGAAGGAATTCAGAGCTTCTTGGTAATTTGTGGCATACCTGTACGACAAGCATGCACGCACACGTACAAAACACTGCTAACATCTCATCTGTATGATAAAAAATAAAGGAAAAAGCAGGCTGACCTTCCACAATGCTCTCACCTATAATCTGAGGCTTTTCTTTTTATACTCAGCTAACTATGAAGAAGGAGATCTAACCTACTGAGAGGTAAAGAACCAAAACATTTTATACTATTAGCTAGTGGCATTTGAATTCATGAGACATCTAATTTGATTTGTCTGATTCTTCAGGGTTCCTGCACTGAATCAAACCTGTGGTCTATCTGTTCCAATACTGAGTCTCAGAAATGCCATGCCAGATGCTCCAGAAGAAATAACAAACACCTTCCTGATGAACAATTATGAAAGAACCTGTCCACAGGGACACTGTCTTCCTAAACGTTGTTAGCAGGTAGTTTATGGTCTGAAACATAAAGCTCTCTCTCTCTCACGCGTACACATTGTCTGGAATTTTAAAAGGAACCTTAGGGAGATGCCTTGTTCCCACTGAATTTCAGCAGCTAGCTTAAAACTCCAGCCTTTCACCTCATTTACTGTAACTGTGGATATAATCCATATGTGTTTCTAATCCTTGTTGAAATCTTCCTACGATTTAAATGAGTTAAAATTAAGTTATACCATTAAGGCTGAGGAGAATACAATGGAGAAGAGTGGAAGGGAAAGGGAATCTGCAGGAAGCTTTATCTGCCGCGAAACAAAAATTCTACAATTAGAAATAAGTGAATTGTTCAGTTCAGTTAGCTAGCCCTTAACAGGCTGTAAGTAAACAATCTGCATCATATCACACTGTGGCTTTTATTTTCTGGGTAAGATGATTTACCTATTCAGTAACATCTGTACATAAAGAAAATAATTAAAAGCTCAATTCTCCACTGGTTCACACCTGGTGTAGCAATTTACATCGGTGTGAAGTGATCAATTTTTATGGTCATTTTACCAAGGTATAGATGATTAGATGAGCCTGCAGACAAATTTGGACTCACGTGCTTTGTCTTACTGCTGCTTGACTGTGATCATGAGAGAGACATAGTGAAGACAAATAAGGAAGTGTCCTCCTGAAAGAACTGTTATATTTAAACAGTGGAGAATTTAAGAAATGTCAGATTTTGATCTTAATATCTAGTTTAGACAAATGAGGAAGGTTCACACTTCTCTTGATGCTATTGGTTTCAGTACATCTGAAGGCAGGCTCAAAAATAGCATGGTATCTGGTTTACACAAACAACTGAAAGAGTTCTGATTTCAGAGGTTTCATTTTAAATGAAAATTTAGATTCTGGAGAAGAAAACAAAACCTACCAGAAACAGGAAGGATGGTTTCATGTTGAGGCTCAGCAGGCCTGACTTCTATGATGTTCAATTTTTGAGTTTTCAACAGACTCCCCATGTGACTCATTCAACTGCTCCATACTCCAGCTGCTATCTGTACCACAGAGATGATAAGACTATTCTAGCCAATTTAAATTAAGAGTTGTTTAGGGAACAGAGTTAGTATAAATGTTGTGTTTATAGAGCCCTGGATGCAAAGAAGTCCCAGTCCCCTTTCTCCCATACCTTGACTTTAGTGAAACACAAGTTTTAATCTAGACTGATTTGTATTGAATAAGCTTATCAGGGTTTGATCCTGCATGGCTTTCCACTGAAATGACACAGTTTGAAGAAGAAGGTTTTGAGCAATTCAGAGGAAGCATTTGCATAACAAGCAAGAGAGGTTCCAGTGAGAACCACAAACATCCTGGAGGATATCAGAGAGATATTTAGTTCATACACAAAAAGATCAGAACCACATGACTCACCGTTCATACATCAAGTTCCAAGGGATTCTGCAGCACTCACCTGAAACCTGAGTTCTTCATTTATGGTGCAGTCTTATAACTCAGGGTTACCTAAATGTGGCTGCCTTGACTACTATTGTAGTCTAATGGTACTGCAATATGGGCTGCCTAAGACCAGTGAGAAATAATCCTCCCCATGAGGCTGCTATTGGAGATGCCCAGAGAGCATTTAGCTTGGCTTTTTTCAGCCTTCAGTGGGAACACTCCTGTTTTAAGCACCCTTAACATGTGCTAACTATTATGGGTGTGCAAAACAGGCCCTATTCAATTCGGGTTCGGATTCAGCTCAAATCGGGGACAGTGATTTGATTAGTTGATTCGGATCACTGTCCCCAATTTGATTCAGCCAAATCCAAATGTGAAGTTTTGCTGCTGATTTGGAGAATCAGCGATTTGGACATAGGCACAGCTTCAAATGTTTTTTCTACATACCTCAAGGTACCAGGCATGGCTCGTGAATGCTGCAATGCTGGGCTGGATGGAGCATCCCACAGGAGCGTTTGCGGGGGGCGGCATGTGCTCAAAAGTGGACCGGAAGTACTTTGCCCCCCACCACCCAGCTTGGTGATCGGCCACAGGGGGCCCCCAGGTGCCTCTGCCAGGTCACTTCCACCCAACTGAGCAATCAGCATTATTTCTGCTCCTTTGACCTTTGCCCAGCCCTGAACCAGGAGGCCTTGACCTTCTTGCTGGAGAGCCCCTGTTGCTGCTCTTCTGGAGAGCTCATTGCTTGCTGTTATACCTACCACATGATGGAGAACCTACATGTACATGCTGTGGATTTTCCCTCTGCAGTCTGCAAAAAAACCAGCACAAACCACACAGCAGCTGAGCAGCTGCCCCCTCCCTCTCGCTTGCTCTTGTGAGCCTATATGTAGCTGTAGTAGCTGTATAGCAGTTAGAAAGCACTTGCAACGTGTTCTTGTCGGCTGCAGCATCTTTCCCATTTCTGTGGGATAATGAAAAGTAACACTTCAACTTCATACCTGTGACTTCCAGAGAGACAACATAGATGAAGGGACAGCAAACTGGGCTTTAATGTTAGCGTGTTGATCTGCTGTGTGACCTTGAGGTAAGTGCTTAACTTCTGTGAGCTTCTTTCCTTCTCTCTTGTCTAACTGAACTGTAAGGTCACTGGGATAAGAATAGTTTCTTACTGTTTATTTGATGTATTGCCTGGTTAAATGGGAACACAATAAAAGCTGGTCCTCAAATGCTACCCTAGAGTGATCTCTACCCAACATCATACCAGTTCCATTGTGATCACTCAGCACACTCATTACAGCTAAGCAGACAATGGAAACAAGTTGTACGCCAATATACACTTTAAAGCAAATTTCAGTTCCTGTCATGGTCCTATACCCTCATTGTCCAAAAAGACTTAAGATCTTAAGCTTCATTGGCATGGGTTCTCAGGAAAAGCAATGTCAGTTACTCAAAAATTCTTTGGAAGGGGACTCTAAACTCACTTGTTTCTAAGCAGTTTCTGTGAAAATTCGTGGTGGACTGAACTTCATAACACTGCTTTAATTTCTTCAAGGTCTTGATGAGTTGTACCCAGGAGGGTGCAGACATTACAAGCTTGCTCCAGAGTAAACGGATGTTACTCTGTAGTGAAAGTGGAGGCAAGGCACCGTGCACAACCTTATACCAATGTGAGACACTGCGCACCAGGATAAAGTTACCTTGTAGAAAGTAGCTATATAGTGCTGCTGTCACACATGTGCCTGCTCCTGGACTTAATTTAATTCCCAGGATAATCATTTGCTCAGTGAAAACTGGCTCCCCTGCCCCCAAGTGGCCAGGTACAGCTATAACTCCTACTTCATTCAGGCTGTCAGCTTGGGGGAGGTGGACTTGTGTCTGCTCCTCACAGCCGAGTACATTTACCATAGGATATGATGTGACATAATAGTTATGGTGTCACAAGCCCACACCCAAAATAACTCAGCATGGAGTTCCAAGTTCAAGTACTAAGCAGTGGCTGCAACTTCTTCACAAGCCATGGCACTGCCATCACCTGAACACAGCCTGCAGCAGCAGAGGACTTGGACAGGATTCCCAACTCCCAGAAACAAGGCCACACGAGGCATGTCCTGTGGAGCTCCCACTGCCTTTCTGTTAAATGAAATGACTCTTGCTGCTGCTCTCAGTGCAGGGCAGCTCACACTGCACGGCAGGGGCATCTTCTTGGATTGCATGTCCCAAAGCATGTGCACGGTGGAGGTATGAGAGGTGCTCATGCTGCGGAGCTGCCCTGAATCCCAGGCCAGGTGGTCGTGCTGCCTGTCTGCTGTCCCCTCAGCTTTTTCTCTCATGTGGGAGAGCCGCTGAGCTGTCAAGTGGGCCATTTTTGCCAGGCCGTGGCCTTCAGTACCCTCCTGTGGTGGCAACTGCACCTGCTCCTGCCCATGGATGTCCAGAGGCAGCTTGGCAGAGCTCCTTAGCGTGGGTTTAGCTGCATTTCCTTAGAGGCACCTGCAGAAGCCAGGGCACCCCAAGGCCCAGCCTGGAGCCGTTGTGGGGTGGAGGGCAAGGTGGGAGCTAGCTGGAGCCCAAGCTCCTGCTGCTGCACCCTCAGCACTGGGCCTGGGTTTCAGGATAGAGACTTCCTGTGTACAACATCTAAGCAACACACGTATGCTCCTGACGTTACCTTAGTAGCCTAAGGAACAGAAAACGCTGGAACTTGAAAAATGACAGAACTGGAAAAGATGCTGAGTGCTGACATGGACTGAACTATCACTGATTATCTCAGTGCATGGCACTTACAGTTAAATATCCTTGAGCCACTATCATCCACCTGGACAGCCATTGAGTCAAGAGCCCACCGAATATCAGAGCAGGCAACCACATCCTTTCCCATGAGCACACCCCAACTTACCCAGGAGTCGCATTACACCGTTCCCTCACCTAGACGCATCACATTCAGACGGTCAGCAGTAACGCCTCTGCACGGGCAGCCGCCTTGAGACGTGCAGCCAGCACGACAGGGGGTGGCCACTTCAAAGCGCTTTAACCACTGCCCTGCTGTGCGTGTGCCCCAGCAGAGACCTTCGCTCCGGCGGGGTCCAGGAGCTGCCACACTCAAAACTAACCATTTGCCAGGACTCCTAGCAGGCTGCACAACTCTCTCTCTCACACACACACACACACACACAGATGGACTTCCTGTGCTCTCCAGCATTAGACCAAGCGGTATAAGAAGACAGACGGTAACATCATTACTGGCAACAGAGAACAAAAAAATCACCTGCTCCATCAACTGTTAACTGAAGACCGAATAGGAGGAGGCGGGAGAGGCTCAGAAGTCACAGAGCCCATAGGCTCCTGGAAGAGACCGGGGACACTGTTGATTATTTATTTATACACTGAGGCCATCGGCTCTTGGAGGAGACTGGACCAGACCCGCTGGCAGCGCAGGAGCGGGCTGACTGCTGGGAAGAGCTCAGCGCGATTGCGACCGCGGCTGACACCGGCACGACCTTGCCGGA